TTCTCTGCAGGTGCGCGTGGTGGCTTCTTCAACCTCCGTGTCCGCAATGGCGGACTTCTTCTTCGTTAGCCACTTCGGCTATGGCGCATCACTCTCCTTGCGACACACAACGACGCGCGTGGAACAGCGGGTACCAGCTCTGATACCAATGAAATCGGACTCGCTCTCATTCACTCTTCTCATGCATGCAAACAGGTGCACAGCAAACTGGCAACAAGCGCCCACTCAGAACTCAGAGATATGGTAACCGAGAACACAGTTCACATACAAGTTCACTTCAATGGCTATGGCGACTCAGCGCCCACACAACTCTCTGTTCGCATACACAGGATCACCCTGGATATCCCACACGCGATACTCGGAGCACACACACATATACACTGAACTCTACCTACAGCTATGGCGTCTATGGCCGCTACTACCCTATCGCTATGGCTACACTCCTTCTCTCTCGCCCACTTCGTCCTCGGGCTCACTGCAGACCACCTCGCACAAGTCGCTTGTGGCAGCGCTTCCGCATGGCTCACGCAGGAATGAATGAATGGCTGGGCGCTGCCTCTTGATTTACAGTTCTGAAGCTCGTTGGTCCGGCCCTTTTCCATGCCCGTAGTGCACACAGTCCCGTGTGGTACTTGCTTGACTGGACCAGGACTGACGGACTGTTGACTCAGCACGGGTAGACTCCACCACTTGCCCACTTGCCTCAGCCTAAACGTGGGCAACTTCGAAAGGCCATTACTGGGACCTTCCGGAAGGCCGTAGACTTGGCCTTTCGTTACTGTAGCAGCTACGCCCTTGACCTTTCTGGACTGTAGCAGCTACGACCTTGACCCTTCGAGACAGCTACAGCTACGACTGCTAGACCTGACTGGAACTCCTACTCGACAGGTCTACAGATCGAACCCTTACTACCTATGGACCCTACGACAGTCTACCAACTGTTACAAATACACAGGTCACGGGTTCAACTCTAGGGGTCGACACAGATACGGTACACAGGTAAGGTGGGGACTAGGGATCGAGCTTGGGATCTGCATCAGCTACTGCGAATTGGTGAATACCGTTTCATGATGAAGAAAGTAGGTGGAGTAGATGGTGAGGGCAATGGAAATGGGAATGGCCATGGAGGAGGAGATGGTAAAAAACGTGGCCACTAAGGAGCACGACTTTGTCATTTGTGAGGGCGGAGAGACGGATGTAGTCCCCTATGACCAGGTGGAAATGGAGGATTGCTGTGAGGACGGGTACCAGGGAGGGGAGTACGCCGCTGCAACGGTTCATAAGGGAGGGCGACAACAATCCGGTGGTGGAAACAGATCCCGACCACAGCAGAAGGGAGGATGGCAACAGCAATCATCGCAAGGAGGAGGAGGTTATCGAGGTTCTAGTAGATAGCCCCTGCACCCAGGACTCGAGAACGGTGAGCCCCCTGGAAGCAAATGAATATGTCAGAAACTCAGTGGCGGTGGCGCAAAGACAACCGCCAATGTTTCAAGTGCAGGAAGGAGGGCCATATTATTCCCTACTGCCCCATGTGGCAGCAGCCGCAGCAACAGCGCCAGCCGGCAAAAGAAGGGGGCCTGTCGAAGTATCAACCGTTTCTACTGGTGCTGCGAATGCAGGTAGTGCGCGCGAGGAGGATACATCCCCTTCCTTTTCGCAGGCCATTGCAGAGGTTGACTCAGCCACCCATTCCGAGCCTCAAGCAGAGACCGCTTGTTGTAGGGTCCCTTTGAGTGGTTCCCGTGCAGGCGTCGGCAAGGAACTCATCACTCTTCACAAAGCCTGGGCTGAGATGAAGAAAGAGAGTGGACCATTAGTTGTAGCAGACTTAGAAGTCCGTGGAATTAGGGTAGGGGCCATGATAGATAGTGGTTCCTCAAGAAGTTATATTTCTCGTAAGGCCGTGAAGAAGTTGCCTCTCTCCTATCTCTGAAATATGCCAGATTGCACAATCTGTCTCAGACGTGGAATGTTGTGAAGTTAGCAGCCGTCAACTCTTGAAAAGTAGCAATCTCATTTGTTGCATATGGGGATGGCAGCTATGGTGGCAGATTCCTCTTCCAGATAAGTCACCTTTCCCACTTCCACATGCTAAAGGCCCTTCGGCGATGCACTCTTCCTAACTCTCTCCTAAGGTGCCTCAACCTCCCTTCCTACACCTATGATGGTAGTCTTCCTTTCAACTCTCCTGGTATGGCTACCTTGCGAGGTGGTGGCGCTGCTGCTTCATGAGCTGGAGTGCAAATGTTCCACTGCCTGCTCCATCCAGCGTTCATCCAGAAAGAGGCCTAGAATCTTTGTGGCCTGGGGCAGCCCCCGGTACTTGTCAATGTAGTGCTGACAGGGCCTGTGTTGGACCAGTTCGATCGCGGAGATGCTCTTTCCCTTCAGCAGCTGGGATCTGGTCGCAGCTTTCTTCTTTGAACCGGAACGATCTGGTCGAGATACAGGTCTTCAGATGTGCAGGAAGTGCTGTTTCAAGAAGGGCCTAGCTAAGGTGGTACACCCATGAGCTGTTGAGATACACACCCAAGTTCGAACTCCAATGGAAGAAGATGAGTGATAACTCTGAATTTACCTGGGTCCCGTCTGTTCAAA